CGCGGCCGGACGGGGCCAAAGACGCCCCCGGCCCATCCCCGCCCCCACCCCGGGGCCTCGGAGCGAAAACGAAAGTGGGGACGCGGCGCCGAGCTTGGGCCGGGCCAAGTTGGGTCGGATCGGGGCTCCCCGGCCCAAGTTGGGTCGGATCGGGGCTCCCGGCCCCTCCCCCCATGGGCCGGCGCGAGACTCACCAGGGCAGAGCAGGGGCCGGCGGCCGGGCCCGTGAGAATCAGCGCGAGGCGCTTTGAAAACGACTAGAAATGGCGCGCGCGCCACCCCCTCCCCCCCTCATGGACAGAGACGCGATCCCGGCAGCACGCGGGGTTTCCCGGAACTGCTTCCAGGGACTCCGTGCTGCCAGACAATCACCTCGCGAGGCGGCCTGACAGGCAGTTCAGGAGGCCAATAGTCGCGAGGCGAAGCGAACCACGCCAAACGACGGGAGAGCCAATCGATGAGGCCGTCTGCTGAGCCAATGAATATACTCAGCGCCGCTAGCCGGGGCGCCTCCGGGGCGGGGGCAGGCACACAAAGGGGTCTGTGGTGGAAGCCCCTGGTAGCGGCAAGGTTGCAGGGCACCAGGCTCTGGGTGGCCGAGGCTCCTCCCTCCTCGTCTGCCGCGGACGCGAGGCTAAGAATCTAGGCCTGGCGCCGCGTGGCCCCCTCCGGAGCCCCGCCCCCTACGGTCGTGCCGGCTCGCTCTGCCATGGCGCTTGCTCCCCGGCGCCGGCATTGCTTCGCCCCCGAGCGCTACTTCGCGCCGCCGCGGCGGGCGTTCTCCCCAGGCACGCCCATCGCCACGCGTTAGGGCCTCGCTCTAGGTTATCCTTTTGGCTCTAGTTAGAACACGATTTAAGTATGCTTTGGTTCGGGTCTGGCTGGAGAATTTTGCATAGAAACTCTTCCTCTGGAACGATCAGAAAACTGCCCCTTGGCTTCCTTCCATCCGTCGACGGTGGCAGCTCAGACTGAAGGAAGTCGCTCAAGTGGGCATGACTCGAGAACAATGTGTAGCACGAATGATAGAACAGAGGCCTTTTCCCACAGGGTTTGGGGCTAATTAATATTCATAAAGTAGATGGGCAGATGCATCCATTCACGGAGCCAAAAATGCCACACACAGAGGAAAGAGGTTAATTCCCAAAGGAGATGAATTTGTTATTCCTAAACCTCTCACCTATCAATACTCCCTGACTTGTTCGCTTTCCTCGCCTTAGTCCAAACCTCTCATCCCACTGAAACCCTCCCGACTCTCTCTGGAGCCGGCCCTTCCTTGCCAAGCCCAACCTCCTCCGCCACACCCTTCGCGGGCTGTGCAGGAGGCCAAGTGGTGGTCTGCAGGATCTCCGATGCCCTTGAGGATGATTAGGTTCCTCAGAACCAAAATTTAATTACAGAAAACCCACCACGTGCCCAATATCCAGCTAAATCCCTCAGTAGGTCCAACGTTTTTGTTACAGGGTGAGAAATTTACAAATAGAATTGGGACCAGTAGGTGGTTTGCTGGTTAAGGACTCTGGACTCCCACATGGCTTAGTACTGTTCAAGTCCCGGACATGGTAGCTGGCATTTGCACACACACACACACACACACACACACACACGCCACCACTCTCACTTGGATTCGATTTAAATAAATAAATGAAGTTTTTTAAAAATCTTTGAAAAAAATGGTAGAATTATTTCGTACTGTTTGGCTTGGTTTTTGCCATAGGGCCAGTGTCCTCCCAGAAGAGAGACAGTGAGAGAAAAGTGAGAAATCATACATCAAGGGAGATGGTCACCCCTAATCCCTTCTCTGTTCTCCTCCTGGGGTTACAGGCACACACATACCTGCCTGGTGTTTTTCAACCCTAGAAGTCCTGCACTCCAATAGCAGTTGGCCATGAGGGAGTCCAGTGCCTTAACCACCACACAAAACTGCTAGAATCTTTAATAAAAGGAATACAAAATGAGGGCTATCCAACGGATGGTGGTGCAATGGTAAAACAGGGTGCTCTGAGAAGCTGACCTACACGAGCACGTTGTCATTTTGTGTATACTGAGTACACCTGGCCTGTGTGTGCTCACAATCAGAAGTGGGCAGAAACTGAAGGTGGATCCTGGAGACCAGATCCTGTGGGGTGCTGTATTTCTGTCTCTTTCTGTCTTACTCATGGAATAAACTTAAAATACAATGACAAGGACCAGCAGATGGAATAATGGTTACATAGCTGGACACCCATGTAATCAACCGCAATTGGAGTCTCAGTCCCGGTGGCTTAAAACTCACCCAGGCGCATGTGTGTGTGTGCCCAAAACTCCAAGAGGAAAATGGAGAGGGGATTGCAGCGTGGCCATCCCCCCTGGGAGGTGACTTCTTGCTTTCTGTTGCTCTGTCTCTGTCTCTCTGGCAAGCACACACACCCATCTCTCTAAAAAATAAAATGACAAACACAAACTTAACAACAGTCTCAGAAAAGCATGGTAAAAGTGAGGGATCTTGAACCTTAAATTTTATTAGCTTGACATAAATGTATTTCTCATTCAAGGGTTCTTAACCTCTTTTGTGCCATTTGAAATTCTGTAAAAGCTATGGATCTCTTACTGTTCTTAAATGCATAAAATATGATACATAGCACTACAAAATAAACCATCTATATTGAAATACAATTAAGAAATATATTTTAGGGTCAGCCAGTGGAAAGGTGGTTAAGGTGGCTTGATCCCACATGGCCAACTGTGTAGTTTGAGTCCTGGACTCAGTGGCCTGGAAAACACTCTAGATACATGTATGTGCCCTTGACCACAGTACTGAGAGACTGGAGGAGAAAGGTTTGCAACATGACTGCAATGGGAGAGGGGGATGATTTCTCACTTCCCTCTCCCTCTCTGGTGAACACACATGCTCTAAAGCAAAACAAATATATATTCATATAATATATATGTAAAACTTGTGATGCAGTAGGACTGCCAGTGGTATGGTGGTTAAGGGCACTGGACTCCCATATGGTCAACCAAGGTTCGAGTCCCGAACCTGGCATATTGCTTTCTCGCTTTCCCTTTCTCACTCTCTCTCACTATGTCACTCTCTGGTCAAACCATAAGTAAGTAAGTAAGTAAATAAATAAATTTAAACAAAATAATTCTAAAAAAATGTTTGTGATGTAGTAATCTTTTTCTTTTCTAGCACATTCTATATAAACATCTTGCAGGTCTACTCCTTTTACACCCACTGCCATAGGATAAGAATCCCTGGGCTAAAGATACAAAAACCTCTCAGTGTCCACCAACAGGCAAATGTTAGATGGTGGCGCAGCGGTAAAACGCAATTCTCTGAGACGATGACTTACATGGGAAGGTTCTTTGTTCACATTTGGAGACCTCTCTGTATATCCAGGCTCATGGATGCCCTTGATCCAGGGCTGACTGAAGGCAGGGGGTGGATCGCAGCATAAAGACCCTATTGGAGGTGCTCTCTCTCTCTTGTTCTCTCTGTCTCACTCAGTCTGTCTCAGTCAAGGAAAATAATTAACTAATTTTTTAAAAAAGACAGTAGATAGTGATTACTAGAAGCTGGAAAGGGTAGAGGGGGGAGGGAACAGAGAGGCAGTGGGTTGACAGATACCAAACTACAGTTAGAACCCAAGCTTTGTCAGTAATGAGCTGCTCAAGGGAAACCAGATTCCACATAGCAACTGCAATCAGGGTGGAAAACGCCAGGCACATGTGGGAGTGGCCAGGTTCTGATGAGCTGAAGGACTGGAGGAAGGGGATTTCAATGTGACCAGACCCCGTCACATCTCTCACATGCACACACGTATACACACTATCATGAACAAAGAAAAAACCGAAAATTCCAATTAGATAAGAACAAGTTCTAGTGTTACATAGCTCAGATGGGTAACTATGGCTAACCATAATTTATGGTATATTTCAGATTAGCTTAAAGAGATTTTCAATGTGCCCAATACAAAATAATCACAAATGTTTAAGTTGATATGCTTCATCACTCTGATTTGGTCATTACATTATATTAATGTACTGAAAAAGCTTAGATAAGAACAAGTTCTAGTGTTACATAGCTCAGATGGGTAACTATGGCTAACCATAATTTATGGTATATTTCAGATTAGCTTAAAGAGATTTTCAATGTGCCCAGTACAAAATAATCACAAATGTTTGAGTTGATATGCTTCATCACTCTGATTTGATCATTACATTATATTAATGTACTGAAAAAAAGTACACTTTTCCCAATAAACATGTGTAATTATTATTTAACAGTTTTAAAAAATTTTAACAGGCCCAGCCACTGTGGAGAACAATATGGAGGTTCCTCAAAGACCTTCAAACAGAACTACCATATGACCCAGCAATTCCAATCCTGGGTATCTACCCAAAGGACAGGAGAACACTCAGTACAAAAAGTGCATGCACAGCTATATTTATTGCAGTACTATTCACAACTGCTAAGGCATGGAACCAACTCAAATGTCCACAAATGGATGAGTAGATTGAAAAAGTGTGGCACATATACTCCATGGAATATTATTCAACCATAAAAAAAACAAAGCCCTGGAATTTGATAGAAAGTGCATGAGTGTGGAAACAAGTCAGGCTATGAAACAGAGACATTGTATGTCTCCACTTAATATATACAGACTGTCTGCACTCTATGATAGAGACTGAAAGATTGAGGACATAAGAGCATTAAAAATTGTTATGGATACTAGAGACAAAGTGGAAGGACGGTGTGTGTGGGGGGGAAGAGTACAGGAAAGGAAATTAGGGGGGAAAAGGGAGAGATAAGATATTTGTGGGATGGGACCAGCAGTTAGTGTAATGGCTATGTCACTGGACTCCCATGTAGTCGAC